AAGATCACCAAGGTAATTTGATTACCAATTATTTTATATTATCATGTTTGATATAATATTATAAATAATTAATATTTTTAAATTACTATATTTGGTATTATATGAAAAAATAAATCATATAATATAAAATATCCAAAATAACCTTAAAAAAATAAAATATTTAATACTTATTGAATTAACAATTTATAAAATAGTTCTATGTTATTTTATAGAAAACTACTAACTATAAATCAATTTTGATAAAACTAATTTATAAAAAGTTATTAAATAAATTCATTATCTCTTTTCTAATCGATATAAATTTATAACATAAAACTTTTTTAGAATATGTGATTAAAAAACCAATTTTAAAACTTTTTAGTGACCAGTTTCTTGAAGTAATGTTAACTAGATTTTTCATGATGGTAAATTAATTAAAAAATAATATTGAAAATTATTTTTTCTTGGTGATAAAATTTTTTCATCATTTAAGTTGAAAATCAAATCACTTCTCAAGATAGGGATTTTATAACCCAGTGATTTAAGATCACTACCACATAGAATTTATAAATTATTATAAAATAAGGTAATTTAATTACTTAATGCATATCACTATGATTTTTAAATAAATCATCCCATATCAAACATTCTCTAAATAAAAAGGAATCATGGTATGACATGTCCCCAAACTAGTAGGAAAAAAAGATAGAAATTAACAAGTAAATATGGATCAATATCTTTTAAACGGAAGCTTAATTAAGAGAGATAATAATATAGTAAAATTTGAATTTAAGATTTAATTCAGTAAATTCATATGGTTTTTTAAAAAAGTAACATACAACAAATCTAAAATTCAAATTCTAGTATATGTATCCCGTGTCCCTATCCCCAAACAATGATTTTTTTCATACCAAAAAGAATTATACACTAGAAACCAATATAAAACAGACGAAAACTAATATTGTTACTATGATTTTGTCCAATACTTCTAGATAAGAAATATCAGTTGGGAATAACATGCCAATAGAAACCAATATATAAGAGACGAAAACTAATATTGTTAAGTACTATGATTTTATCCACTACTTCTTGATAAGAATTATGGGTTGGGAATAAAATGCCAAATTTGTTTATCATTATTTTTGTTTCAAACGATCAATGTCGTATTTGTTAAAGCCAAAATATATTTGGGGGGTGAGAACGTGAGATGTTAAAGCCAAAATTTGATACCTTGAAGCTTGTCCCCATGTCTGAATTGGCTATTGACGTCTCTTGTTGTCTATGAAAAAATCATTCTGTTCCAAAATGTTGAGGCTTTGGTCGTCAAGGTATTATCACAACTCTGCTCCAAATCTTATACCGATACAAAGGTTTTCACCCCACTCCCATAATTTTGTCGTTGAAACTTTTTATAAATAACACTTTAAAGTTTGTTGAATGAGAGCTCAGTCTCTAAATTTGTATAATATAAATTTTAACCATCATGGGAAGGGAAAACTAATTTGTTTCATTACTATAAGTATACCACATACACCATCAATTAGCAAAATTAAACAATAATTTTTATTTTTTATTCTCATTTTTAAGGTTTCATACGATTTGAAAGCATGAATTAACATGAAATGAAATAAGAGGGACCCATCATAATTTTAGGGTTTACCGACAAAATTGACCCCACGCCAAAAGAAATTGATTGGTTTCTCATACAAGAAATTCAGCTTTGTGGGGCATAAATGCTGAGGGCCAATGGCCAAGACTTGCCACTCTGAATAATGCAGTAGAATATTACTAATCCTTTTTTTTTAACTACATAATCTGATACAACCTCCATAAAAAAAATTAAAAAAAAAAAAAAACACAGAAAGTAAGTTATGTAGACTAATTTTTATTTTTTTTATTTAGTCCTCAAATTTTGAAGTGCATATAGCAATTAAACCCCTAAAAACTTCCAAATAAAATAAAATTTATGCAAATTAGTTTATTTAAATAATGATTAAATAAAATTGAAGTTTAACTTATTTGATTTATATTATTATCTTTAAAAAATAATATCTACTAATTTTAAATTTTAATATTTATATCTTTTATAAAAAAAAATCATGAATGAGTGAACCAACGAAGAAGATTTTTTCAGGAGTTTCAAATACGTAGATGCAGTTAGAACCATCCGTAGGGATATGGTGAAAGCACGTTTTGGGTGATGGTTAAAGAAGAAATGAATAGGGTTAGGTGGGGTGGGGCCAGATTATAAGGCAAAATGTAACATCCAGGAGAATGAAATGAAGGTACCATAGTTTATAATCATGAATGTCTATAAATAAATTGGGTAGGGCTTTGAGTTGGGAAGCTAAACCATCGCTTCAAGATCATGGAAATATGGAATCATCTCTAATCTGATGTGATTACAAGTCAAAGAGCCACTTCTTACTAAGCTACTTTCACCATCTTTATGTTTTTAGGGGTTGTTGCAGACAAGATTTTACCATCGAATGCTAGTTTCATTTGACACACTCGAACCTATTTTGAAGCTGTGGGCCTAAATGCTTGGGCTCACTCTTTGTAACCAGGCAAACTCACTAAGGCCCAAATCAATTGCCCAACATCGGCAGAATCCTTCAAAAGTTATCAATACGCAATACCCATTACTCATCATTCAAATTTATGCCCATAATTACACACCGGATTGAGAAGGAAGGAAGCTTCATAGAGCTCTTAAAACTGCGAATTAAAGTGGTCATGGCGAAGGGCAAAATTTTGCCCGACAAGATGGAAGACAAATCAGCTATAAATGCTGTCTTCGGTGCTTCCTAATAAGTCTGGGATGAACAAAAAATGCTAGTAAATCTTAGTATTAAGAAAGGTTGTCAAATGGAATTTCAAGGTAATGTGAGAAACCATGTCAATCAGGGGCGGACGTCAATTATAGCTTGAGGCGGCCTGGCCCTCCCACAGTTTTTAGATCTCCCTACTATATGTCGTAATAAAATTAAATGACCTCTTCAAACTAAAATTATTAATTTTATTTTTTATAGAATTTTATAATTTAATTTTGTTACTGTAATTTTAGACGAACTAAAATCACATTATTATTTATCTATTTATTATACCAATGATTCAATACTTGAAAATCTTTAGTCTCTAATAAAGGAAAAAACATGTTTTTTTTTTTTTTAGTTGATTACAATTCCTCTTTTTCATATAATTTTTCATTTTTAATTTTACCCTAATTTTTTTCTCTTGCTATCATGCAAATTTTTTCAATGCAAGTCTTATTGAAACCATTTTATAAAAGGTTAAAAAAAACACCCTACTTCTAATCTCTATGTTTCAAACTTTATCCCTTTAATGATATATTTTATTTTTCTTATTTTAATAAAAAAATATATATGCTATTTAACGATTGATTAGAAAATCGCTTACAATTTTAAGTAAAATCCACAATTTTATGTAAAGTCATTTATTCAACATATTATGTTCTTTATACATTGATTTATTAATCTAAAATTTATAATTTTGAAAACTAATACATTTTGTTAGTATCATACTTACTATAAATTTATATCAATATATATATTTATATTGATAATATAATAAAAAAAATTCCATGAAAAAAATTTAAGATTTAGTATAATATTAATTAATCCCCTGAAAATCAACCGTCAAGATCTGCCATCAACAAAACTTGGGATCAAGAGGAACACTTTAGGGTGAAAATAGAGAACAAAAATGTGGAAGGTTTACCCGTGGGTCCATACCATAACTAGTGTTTCATCATCCTCTTCATTCCAGAACAAAGTGGCAGAAACATTTCCTACTCCTTAATGCTTATCAGTTCCCAAGCTCCTTCAATTTGCCAAGTGATAATGGTTAAGAACTTCAGGAGATTTCACAGTTAAAAAGGTAAAACTACATGGAAAAAGCCCTCTCCAGAAAGAAGCAACTACAATCATATAGTGATTTCGATATGTTCACAGGATGTTATGCAGAAAAGAAAATGGAAAATTTAGCAGTATAAGAACAAAAATCATTGACCTAATACACTATATTTCAGTACTATAATGATGTCTATCAGTCCATGTCAAGAGCACAAACGTCACAAGCAACAATATTAACCTAAAACTAAACCAGACTGTATGCTTAGTAGCTATTCTGTAAAAACTAGCAGCATCTTTCTTTTACTTGCCACACTCTGAAAAAACCACCTCAGTTAGTTAAGAATTTAAGATTCAACTATAATGTTAGCTTCAATCCCTGAATTATGATATATACAAGTACTAGGAGCAACATAGCTCATGTTCCATTCAGCTAACCTGCAAAATAACTCGAGTCTTGCCACACTCAGAAAAACCCACCTCGGTTAGTTCGTTAGCTTCAAGCCCTGAATTATGATACCAGTAACATTTAGAGTTTATAGAGAATTAGCTGATTGGTTCCAATAACTTGGAAGCAATCAATGCAGTAACTTGAAAAGAACAATGGATTGCTAAACTGTCTCTCATGATGATAATCCTATTTAAAGTTGGGCATCTTTTCAAGCATCTATTCTTGAGCATGATTCTGTATCATCCTTCATTTGTCCACAGTTGGACTTCGTGAAATAATTTTCAAAGCAACTTGACACATCATCCTCTTAAACATGCTCAGCATACTCTTAACTTTGTCCGCATATAGAGGAATTTCAACAAACTCTTATTATAATTTTATTTACGTTGAACAATCTTTTCAGGCATCAATTCTAGAGTATAATTATGTAAAATTATTCATCCACAAGGAACTTTGTAGTAAAAGATTTTCCATAGCAATTTGACACATTAATCCCCTTGAATGTCTTCAACAGACTCAACTTTGCTAGCATTAGTGAAATTCTACTCTTGGAGCACAGAAAATTACTATTGAACATCAGGCAACCTATAGATTTGATCAAAAGAGATAGCAGCCAATAAGGTAAAGCATTTAAGCATGAAATCAAACCATTCAATATTAAAAATTATTAAATATAGCAAATGTAAACCATACAAATTTTCAGCTACAAATGGGGCAATGCACCAGACCATTCTCATTACACTCCGTACACCTGACCACCACGGTCCTCCCCTCCTCATTCACCACCACCGCCATCTTACAGCTCCCGTTGCACTGAAAACACGGCAAAAATTTCACATCGCCACAGCCATCACAAACTTCCCCTGCTCTTTTCTTCGGCAATCCCTTAATTAAATCCCCAAACCAACCTTCGTCCACGATCGTCATCAGTTCCTCTGCTCCCCCAATGTACCTTCCCTTAATAAAAACTCGGGGAGGCGTAATTTGGTTCGACTCTTTATCTTGCCCTTTCATTAATTCCCTTAACTCTTCTTTGAACCCTCGGTCCATCGAAATGTCCCGTTCGCAAATAACAAGCCCGTAACTTTCAATCGCCGATCTAACCGCATTGCAGTCTTCGAATGTCTTACGGATTCCCCTCAACGTCGTCGTATAAATTACCACTCTGTTTTCCCCGTTCGGTGGACATATTTGCTCGAAGTTGTCCAGCGGTGATGGTTCTAAAACGGCATCGTTCCCCTCATTGAATTTCTGTAGCAGGGAGGAACGCGAAAAAGGCGGTTTCGGGACGGTGCAGTTGTTGTTTAAATTAGGATCCGCGTTTTCCTTTTCGGAAGGAAAGGTGTTTGGGAAGCGGAAGCTGGCTTGGAATTTATCCAGCAGTGAAGACCGCGAAACAGTCGGTTTCGAAGCGCTATCGTTTTTGCTAAAATTAGGGTTCGGATTTTCCTTGTTGATAATAGGGGAGAAACGGAAGCTATCCACGTCGAGGCCAGACATGAGCTCCCAGGAGTTAATGACCTCGGGTCGGGTGGGGACGGATCTAGGTTCAGACCAAAGCGATTTAGACTCATTGAAGGTGGATCCAAGGGAGAAAGGTGGTGGTGGGGTAGGTGGAGTAGTGGTGGATTGCGGCGGCGGGTCAAGGGTTAGCAGCCCATAAGTGGTGGAAGTGAGCGAAACGATGTGGTGACCGAGTGCTGAGCTACCGAGTTGAGTGAACTCGTCGTCCTGGTTTAGCAAATTTGAGGAAACGCAACCCATTGCCCCAAGAAAATAAACTGAAGATCTATGATTGGAGTTTTTTAAAATTTTCTAAGAATGAGAATTTGAAGAAGCGAAACAGAATGAAGACAAAGGCAAAGATACAGGAGATTACTTTTTTTAAGCTTTAAAGAGAAGAGAATATACTGGATAATAATTAATTGAAGATACAAGTAATAAATTATAATAAAATTAATTTAATTGAACTTTAAAGCTAGCTTTTTAAGAACTATGAAGTAGAAGTGAAAGAGAGTTTTTGAAAATTTTTGGGGGTGGAACTGTTTGGCAAATGGCAGCCTATGTTTGGGCGCTAAATTTTAATTCAAATTGAAAATGGATGGTCATTGCATCATTGGTCAGTGGTGAAAGGCTCCAACCGCCCCTCGTTGTCATTTAATTTGGGTTTTGATCGAGTTACGCATATGGGAAGATTTTTCTGCTCACCCATGGGTAGCCTGAGTTGGTCATCGTTATGGGCTGAGCGCTTTTACTGAAACACAGTTTAATTTAAGTAAAGTAGCCTTTAGCTGTGGTGGTTGCGGATTTCAACTGCTGGGCTTGGCACAATTACATCTCCACTTCAATTTCATTTTAGCTTATTCGTGAACTTCGGGATGTGTTATCTGATCCATATTCTAATTAAAAGAGAAAAAAAAAACTTTAAAAAATATAAGATAAAGGGTATAGAAAGTTTTTTAATTACAATTAAAAAATCATTTAATCTTTTTTTTTTACAATCAATTAATCTATCAATATTTATTTGCATCAAATTAAGCCTTTATTTATATAAAAAAATTAATATCCTTAATTTTTTTTGTCAATTATAATAAAATCTCATATGATACTAATAAAATATATAATAATTTATCACGTGATATAATTAATTAAAAATAAAATAAAATGAATCATTTTTAATTTTTTTTTACCTTTTCTTTAAAATCCCTTTAAAGGTTCAATTAACTATAATACGAGGTTGATTGATTAAAATTTGCTAAGTGATTAAATTTCATTTAATTAAAGATTCAATTGATTCAAATAAAAAATTTAAAAATTCGATTGATTACAAAAAAATTAAATAATTAAATAATTTTTTAATTATAATTCAACTATATTTGTGACCCTATAACTAAAAATATGTAAAATTATTTTTAAAATAATGAAATAAAAATACATTTGATCTAATCCAACCCCATCCTATATGAATTCGGTTGGGTCGTGTAATAACAATAGGTTTATCACATAATCCAATTCATATAGGCTCAAACAACTTGGATCAAGTTTAAACCCCACCCAACTCATATTACTATAAACATCTCTGATCAATTCAATCCAAGATATATATATTTATTAGATTTGGTAATCTAAAACATAATATAATAACACAATATTAAAAAAATGAAGTAATACATTTTAAAATTTTAGTAATAATTATGTATCAGTTTAATAAAACAAAAAAAATTATGTTTTCATGTAATATAAATTATGACATAATTTTTATATAAAATATGATAAATATATAAATTTTAATATTTTACACCACATAAATATAAAAATTATCAAATCTAATTTTTATAAAGTAACACAAAAATTAAAAAAATAATATTAAAGAAGATGTCTAACTTAAAATTAATTAATATTACAAACTCATAAGAATAATATAAGTCACTCCGCTTACTTTCAATTGTTTAAGAATTTAAAATTTTGTTTAAATTTTAAATAAATAAATAATCACATAAAAAATTTCAAGTCATTGAAGTTTTAAACTTTAATGTTCAAATCTGACTCAAGTAACATAGATAAAGCTGGCATATTAGTACATATAAGTAGTTCTTCCATGTTTTTAATTTTTATTGGGATTTCGTCTACATTGATCTATATAATATAATATATAAGAAATTCATCTATACCAATTTAAAGCCCAAAAATTTATCACCTAAATTTTAGAAGAATTTAGTGAGTTAGGGTTCCGATTTGAAAATTTTAAGGTAAAAACTGCTTTTATACGTTAATTAAATTTTAGAAAAGTTTTGTCATTCGAGGATTAACTGGTTAGCAAATTTTACAGCTCTAATCGGTTTATCAATATATATATATATATATATATATATATATCATCTAATATATAAAAGTATGAACTCTAAAAGTATTAATAATGAACGACATAAATATTTTTATAAATTTTAAGAAATAACAAATTTACTTTTAAATTTTTAACATTATTTATTTATTTAATAATGATTATTTGTCATTAAATATATAGCTTTTATTAGTTAGTTATTTAAATTTATATCTAAAAGTGTTAAAAATGAATAACATAAATATCTTTATAAATTTTAAAAAATAACAAATTTATATTTCAATTTTTAGCATTTTTTATTTATTTAATAAAGATTATTTGTCATTAAAAATATAGCTTTTTATTTATTAGTTTTTTAAATTTAAATCAATTAAAAATTTACAAATTAAATTTATATCAAATTAAACTATATTAAAAATTTATTTGTGGGATATGGTGGGCCTGTTGTCCAAAATTAAAATTTTTTTGTTAAATTTTATAAGTAATAATTCAGTCAAATTAATATAAAACACATTATCATTCGCATACTATGAATCCGTGATATTGAATAAAACATAGATAAAAAATTTTCCTATTTCTCAATTACTAATTGTTTTAGTCTAAATTATTAGAACATAATGTGCATACCCCAAAACATTTAACTTATTTTAAGTAAAGCATATAATTTTTCATTTTCAAGATATAATCTAATTTACTCTTGATCTTTTTTAATGGCATATATCATGAGTCCTTAAATATATTTATATTTTTTGTTTATTTATTTTAGATTAATTGAAATTAAAGTTCATACAAAATTATAAATTAAATTATAAAAAAATTATTCAAAAAGAGTAATACATGTATTATGGTAAATTTATATGTTTGATGATTTTTATTTTTATGATAAATATAAATTTTTATGTTAATTATTGCAATGATTGATTATAATATTTCTAATTACTCTATGCAATCACACCTTAACATTATAATGCTTAAATGAATGTTTATTTTATGAACAAAATCTCATGTACCATTGAATTGTTGCTAAACTTAGTTTTTATTTTATCTTCTATAGATTGATTCTATACTACACCTAAGTTAATTTCGGTCTATCCTTAATTTTTTATAGTTAATGTCAAATATTTAGTACTTAAGATATTTTTATGAAACCAAAGTCAATATTGCTAAGAAACATTAATCTTGATGAAAAGAAATTATTTGATAATTGTTAGTTGAATATTTTTTATTCTTTACAGCAGGTTTTATAGAAATTAATACATCACTCATTTTTTTTAATTTATTTTTTTAATATACTCTAAAGCCTAAAAGGTATATGTCATGTTGCTAACTTCATTTGTGAAATTTAAAATTTATATTATCAATATATTTTATGATTTTTCCTTGAAAAATATAAATTTATTTTTTTCAATTAAAAATACTCTAACAGATTTTTGTGTTTTGATAGTAAAAAATATTGATTAATTGTGTGTGTTTTGTTGAATGATTAAAGCTTTGTTAGTTCTCCAAACAATATTAAAAGTGATTTTTTTAATTGGGTAAACTTTTATTAATAATACACTACATGCCAATCATGCATATTTAACTAATTCTTCAATTCATAAAGAAAGGAAGACTTATAATTGAACTCATTAATTGCATGATAAAAATTTTGAAGTATGAAGATGCAAAATAAAATATATTTATTTATATAGTCGTATAATTAAGATAAAAAATTAACTCAATTGATAAAATTAAATTATATATATATATACAAAATAAGATAAATGAATCAATTAATATTTCATATAGATCCTAAGATTACTAAATTAGTCTTTTTATTACTCAATGGGTCAATATATCATAATATATATGAAATTGAAAAAAAAAATATTATAGATGATAGCGAAAACTTTGATTTTTTTTTCAATTAATGTGTAAAAGGTGCTCCATTTGGAATTTAGCCAACTTTACTATACGTAGTTATTTAAATTTTAGCTAAAAATTTATAATATTGACAAACATTTGCATACTTTAGATTTTATAACCTACTTTAAATAAGAAATTTTATAATTAAGAAGATGTTTAATATATATCTATATTATATATAAAATGTGATAATTTATTCAATTATCTCTACTGATTTTTATTTAATATTTTTTAGCAAATTAAAATATTGTCTACTTTTTATTTATTTTTTATTAAAATATCTTAGTTAAGTCATTCATGCCCCACTTAACGTAAGCAATACGGCTAGAAGATTTAAAAGAGTTTTTCTATATATGAATATTTTAGGGTTTGTAACACATTTTACCTATTAATGTGTTTTATACAATTAAATTAATTATAGAAGATTTAGTGGTAAATAAATTATAACATAGTAGTAAATGTATAATATTCCCTCTATCTTATTTTTTTGTCTATCTTTTCTTTTTGGGATGTCCCAAAATTTTGTTTATTTTTTGTTTTAAACATCTAAAACTCTTACTTTTTTATATTTTAAATTATTTTTTACGATTTTTTTTTACTTTTTAACATGAAAAACATAAAAACTTTAATTTTATAAAAAAATTTAATTTTAATATTAAATACATTGAAGTCAAAACTTTTTTTTAACTCCATAAAAGTCAATACAAGACAAATAAATAAAGACGGAGAGAGTAATATAGTAGCAAATTATTAATAATTTTATTGTAAATTAGTGATAATTTAGACAACATTAGTAATAACTTTATATTTAATCAATGATAACTGTATATTAAATTATGGATAACTTAATAATAAATAAATAATAATTTAGTAGTAAATAATTGATAAGATAATTGTATGCCAATGATAACATAACAATAAATACATAATAATATAGTAGTAAATAATAAATAACTTAATGGTAAATTATTTATACATAATTGTAAATATATAATAATACAATAGTGAATTAAGGATAATTTAATAAAAAAAGTGATAACTTAATAGTAAAGTAATGATGACTTAGTTGTAAATTAATAATAATTTA